AGTGCCCACACAGCAATATTATACCAGACTTCTAGCTTTCCATCAGCAGGATTGTCACAGGGCAGAGGAAAACCTGAAAGACATGTCTGTCTTTACTTACTGAGAGAGGTTCAGCAGCTGCCAAATCCCTGTCGATTTCAGTCTCTGAGGTGATGCGGCCTTTTTGTCTTGTTGGAGTCTTTATCTTGTCTATCAGGATCTTTAGGACTTGAGTGGCAAGCAAGGGGTCTCCCCCCAGAGATCTCCACAGCTCAGTGATGTCACTGCAATTTAACAGAAGTTACATGTGACCCCTGGACACTTTTGTGGCTCAGACTGAATACGTCATATTTAAGTAAAGACCAAATTTTCTCCTTGCCAATGATGAGAAAGTTAGGAGTACTGTCCTCCTTTAACGCTCCTCATGTTTAAATATTGAGTTTCCAGTTACAGAACTAGGTTAAGTGACCTAGTCTTACTGCAGCCTCACCATTAATACTAGACTTCAGAAGGACAGGACACAGAGCGCCAACCTCAGTTCCTGCTTTCCCATTTTCCAGTAAATATGGAATCATGAACATGTGGCTACAAAGATCTAGGGTTTGGAAGGCAAGTTGATGAAGGAAAAGCCATATTCCTACTAACTGGTGTGATATAGCACGGCCAGAGGACAGCAGGAGAGTGATAGATGGGAGATATGTAAGCCCCAGGATGATGAGAGCCTTAGTCCCTGTAGAGGGAAGAGAGGCTGCTACAGATTAATTAGAGCACCTGAAACCAATTAAGCCAATTAGAGCACCTAAAGCCAGTCACCTGATAAACCCCCCCTGCTTCAATCAGACAGTTGGAGGAGTTGAAGCAGAGTGGTTTGGTGTTGGAGCAGAGAGCAGTTTGGAGAAGTGCTGTGGTGGACCAGAAGACCAAGACCCTAGGTAAAGGGAAACCCGGCTTGTGCAGAGCAGAGGGACTCTACAGACACAAGGGGTTGGGAGAAACTTGGCCCAAGCGGAGAGAGGGCAGGAAGCCCCACAAGCTGAAGGGCCGGAGAGGGAAGTAGCCCAGGGGAAGGAATCGCTAGTTCAAGTGGTTCACTGCTATCCTTAGAGCCCCTGGGCTGGGACCTGGAGTAGAGGGTGGGCCCAGGTCCCTCCCTCTCCACTCCCCTTTTCTGGGACACTAATGGGACAGTTAATACCCCAGTTCAGGGGTGAGAAACGGTGCCCTGCACCCCCACAAGAGGAGAAAGTGCGGGACGCAACATAATAGTGCCGGCAATTTGCCACACTGGACATACAACTATGAGACCAAATATTCGTGGCCATCCTATGTCCCCTTCACAAAGGGTGTCCCTATCTTCTGTTTGCCAGAAGCTGGGACTGGGCAACAGGGGACGGATCACTTGACAATTACCTGTTCTGTTCATTCCCTCTGGAGCATGTGGCACTGGCCACTGTCGGAAGACAGAATACTGGGCTAGATGGACCTTTGGTCTGATCCAGTATGGCCGTTCTTATGGTCTTAGATTCCAGCACTGATAACTGATAACTCAGTTAGGGATCTTTAAATGAAATGATGGATCTGCTTCCAGTCCAGTTTTAAGTACCCAGGACAGCAACTCTATTCTAGCAGCCACACCCTGACTGATACCAAGCAGAGGTCTGATGATAATATTGGCTCTATTCTTTGTAATCAGCCAGGGATTTGGACTTGAAGCTGTCATGCTACCAGGAAACCAACAGCCACTGCTAATTTCCAGAGTGAGGTCAATTCAGGTGTCTAGAGAGGTAGATGTTTCCAACAATACACTCCAGTTATACCAGTAAAGATAGGTCTTTAGGATATCAAAGCAGCTATTAATTAATGGAAACAGAATGACACTTAGTTTCTCTCCGCACCCCACCTTAACATGCTCTTGGACCTTCCTGCAGAAAGACCCAGGCTATTAACCTTTAGGAATTATCCCAAACTGTTTGCTGCTTAAATAAAGCCCTACATCTCCCAGTAAAGCTGTGGGATCCATGTTTCACCAAGATGAATGCAATAGGTAGCGGTATATACCTGTCCATCGGCAGATGTTCGCCGAGGAGGCTGGAGATCACTGTCTCTAGGTCACGGTGAGCTAAAATGGACACCGCCTCCACCAGGAACTGCCTCAAGCTGCCCTCCTGGATAGTAGGCATGTGGCTATATATTATAACCAGGATATCTGGCACCTGGAAGGAACAAAACCAGAAAGAAATGTCCCTTTTTCTTTCTCTCCATTCATTCTACAGAATCAAAACCTTTATTTAGCCATTTAGCCAGTTGCTGCTTTTTTAGAAATTCTTCACTTCAAGAAACAAATGTTCAAATATGTCTGCATAAATTTAACCCACAAAAATTGCCCACACTTGGCTGTAAAAACTAACACTGACACACACATATACATACCAGGTAATTTAATGTGGTGGTGCCCAGCTAGGCATTAAATAAACCAGTTCGCATGCACAAAAGAAGGCTTTGCTTGCCCACATTTTGCAGGTGTGATTTAAGCAGCCAAATCTGACCATTTGCCTCGAAGAATGCGGAGTTCATAAACAACCACAAGCACAAAATATGCAAGTGCTTTAAACACAGTGTGCAAATGCCTGGGACTATGAACAGGTGATGACCCCTCATATTCACTCCTAGCCCTTCACATCTTCAAAACACTGTGCAAACATGGCAGTTCTGCTGCGAGGGTTCCCTGTCCTGAGACCTTTCACCAGCCTTGTTAGAAGATTTGTGGAGTGCTCCTTTCATCTAGCCCTAACGCACTGGGCTCCAGAATAAGGCATATAAATAGTGGATCCCAAAGACACTATAGTTTTCTCCCTCCCTCCCCCCTTCTATTCTTAAAGGGTACGTCTACACAGCAAAAAAAATCCCACAGCAGTGTAAAAGTGTAGCTGTTCCTGGTTGGGCTGAAGCCCAGGCTCTGAAACCTGGCAAGAGGGTGGGTCTCAGAGCCCAGATTGACTGGGAATGACCACAGTGCTATTTTTATCCAGGTAGCCCTTAGCCATAGGCCTCCTAAGAACTGGATGATTCCAAGTGCCAGTCATTCTGTCTTGTTGTATTTTCCCCAGAGTCTGTTTTTTCAAGCCTTTCTTGGCTGAATACTGTGGCAACAAGCTAGACAAATAAATAACCAACCATCTTCCTTTTCCCTTGGATTATCTCTGTCTACTGCGATTGATTCTGCCATTGCCTATCTTAGGGTAGGAACAGAGATGGAATCGACTCTATGTCCAAGGGGGAGAAACAGCAAGATTTTTGTTCATTACACATAAGGGCAAAGATCTAAAAGCCTAGAGTTTAGGCAGAAAACCTCTCCAGTTT